AAATAAATTTCGAAAAATTTATTCTGATTTTCGGTAAATAAAAGTGGGGCGTTACATTAAATAACATTAATCTGATTGATCGATTTACCTCCCTATGTTTAAGATATAACGTCCGTTGATTATTTAAATTACTGACAAAATAATTAATCAACTTCTTATTCATTTCCGAAATTAGTATCACTCAGCCTTTAACCATTATGTCAGACAATCGTCTACCTGCAGGGTTTAACATAATGTTCCTTTCTGAGCTCATTTCGGGGACGTCATCAATCCAGCGCACTGGAACATAGTGACTGTAAATAATCTATAATAGCACATCATATAATTATTCTTACTTACTAAAATACCTTGTATGTCATCCTAACAAAATAGGAATCACTTGGTAAATCAAATAAATAAGAGATAAAAATATATGCCTATTTTATATTATATTACAGCTTAAGAGAACGCATCAATCACTGAAGGGCGAGGTTACAACAACGGTCAGTGAGTCTCATAACCTTTGCCTTCCGCGGTCCTGTTCAACACTTAACATAAGTGCTAGTGTAATCCTTCTTGCAAAGACCAACTGAATCGAGAATACACTATAGTCTTTTTCCAAGTGGGGTCTCACTGCCAGTCTAGACTGTGAACGAATAGTTTAGTCTTATAAGGAACCGATAGGTGATCTTTCTGTTCGAAACTCTTCGAACCACACTACCTCAATATAAGACATGGAGTATGAATTGCATAAATAAATAAACTGCAAACATATGTACTTTGACCGAAACATGATTGCCAGATCAAAATAGAATTGATAGAATCTGCAAAACATAGCTTTTACATCATACCTCTAACAACAGAGACCAAAGGGAAGGCCCAGAAAGCATATTGCACCCCACACTGTGCATACTAGACAACCACCCCACACTGCGCACACTAGACAACCAGCCCAAAATGTGCACACTAGACAACCACCCCAAACTGCTGTTCAACCACCCCAATCTGAGGTTCAACAACCCCAAACAGAAGTTCAACCACCCCATACTGAGGTTCAACCACCCCACACTGAGGTTCAACCAAACATGGTGGACATTACAAGCCCAACAGTTGAGACAATGACAGGCCCACCTTTTGAGAACATGACAAGCACACAAACCGGTTCTGTGGAGAAGATAAATAAAATGCCTATTAGGAGGTGCAGTCCTCGGTTATCAGTCATATAAAAAGAAAGAGCCTTGGTAATACTTTTATATGGTTAATTTATGAATTTGGTACCAATCATTATGAGTAACAATTATTTTGTTCATTTGTTTGGCAGGCAAGGAAAGGTTTTGGTATATTACAATCTGAGGAAGCTAGTAATGTCTACATGAAGGTATGGTTCTTTTAAAGGAATTTACTATTTCTGAAATACAATAAATTTGACTAACATATGGGGTAATTATTGGATATTATAATGCAATTGTCATCTGCAAAAAAGATTCATGTGATTTCAACCACTGCTAGAGAAACAGGCCAAAGCAGTGGCTCAACCAGAGGGCAAAGCAGTGGGTCAAGCACTGGTAGAGGCAGAGGGCAGAGGACAGGGTCAACCACTGGCAGAGAAAGAGGGCAGAGGACTGGGGCAACCACTGCTAGGGGAATAGGGTAGAGGAGTGGGTCAACCACTGCTAGAGGAAGAGGCCAAAGTAGTGGGTCAACTGGGAGAGGTAGCAAAGCAGGTGACTTCATATGCACTCAAGAGAGTGAGGCTGGAAATTAAACTGTTGGTTTTGTGAGGCTGGAAATTAATATGTAGGATTGTTGGTTTTGTATGTGGAGACTCATTAGTTTGAACTGATCTTAGTGATGTTCTTTTGAGTTTTTGTGGGATTTGGATGTGTTATGGGATATTTCTGTGTGTTGTTATGTGTGAATGACTTAAATGAAGTGTGTTGTTATTTTGGAAATGAATGTGTTCTGTTTATTTATGCTGAAAGGAAGTGTTCTTTTAAGTTTTTGTGGGATCTTGGTTTAGAATGTCTTCATGTGATATTGTGCTTGCCATTTCTGATTTGACACAATAATAGTGTAACTAAAAGGATTCTAATCTGATGAATAAGATAGTTTAACTGATAAGATACTTCTTGTAATAATGTTACATTGATGCAAAAGTTTTTCAACCAAACACAATCAAACCATTAGTTCATTACATATATCAACCAAACACAATCTAAAAAACCTAATGGACATGACCATCACAACATTAAAACCATCACAAAAACAGTTCACCTTCAGCTAATGGACATGACCATGACCATTTCTACCAAACACAATCACAATAAGAACCAAAACAATAACAATCAAACAAATCATAACTACACAAATTTTCCTTTCAAGGTTTTTTACTTCAATTAAGGTCTTGTCAAGAACCAAAATGACTTCAGCATTCTTGTGACCTTCTACCTCAAGCCCTGTCACTTTTTTTTTCAAGCTCCTCAAGCCAAGTCGAGCTTACTTCTTTCACAACCGACCTGTCATTGTGTTGTTTTTCCATGGCCACCTTGTCCTGTAACTTTTCTTCTAAAGCCTCTTTTTGAGACTTCAATTTGATGAAATATTTTTTTTGGAACTCAGGCAATGAGGGATCAATCCATTCAAAGAAACCACAATCATCTATCTCCTGCTTATCAAAAAAACCTTCATATAAAATATTTTTTTCTTCTAAACAAAATTGCATAAAAATTGCTGAACAAAATACAATAATAACTTACATTTCTTGTTGGACACCTGTAGAACACCCGACATGGATTGTCGTTAGTCATTGAGGTCAAAACAACGGCCTCTTCCAAATGGCGGCACTGCTTCCGCACTGGGATATTGGATGAAGCGCTATGTTGCGAATTTTGGCTTGTACGAGACGAGTACGACATTTTCAGAGGATGAAGCTGCAAAATTAGGGCAAAAATTTGGGGAAGAACACGATCAACAATTGTCAGAGGATGAAGCTGCGAAATTAGGGCAAAAATTTGGGGAAGAACACGATCAACAATTGTCATAGGATGAAGCTGCGAAATTAGCGCAAAATTTGGGGAAGAACACGATCCACAATGAAGCTGCGAATGAATAAGATCGAAAATTAGGTTTATCGCGGACGATTTTGAAATTTGGGGATGGAGACGATTTTGAAATTAGGGCATGGGTGGTGGTTTGATTTGGGGGAAGATGACCGTTTTATAATGTCTTTACCACGTCACAAGAGTAAGAAGTAAGTTAGTCCACGTGGGTAGAGCTTAACGGACACGCTGGCAAAAATGAGACGACCGTCTGAATTTGGGTTCGGGTTGCAAAAAGGGACAAGGTTAGGTTATTTTTGCTAAATTGCAAAAGTTTGGTTAAAACAGCAAAAAGTTGTAAGGTCATGCTTTTACCGGCAATTAGGCCTATCATACATTTATAGTGATAAAAATGAGTCTTTTACTAAGTCAAAAAGTGTCAGTCCTCAAAATTAGTTCAGAATGATACTAAGGGTGACAAAAATGGTTGTAACTGTGAGAACTTATTGGAGATTGTTTTGCCCTGCAAATGTCACTGTGAATCTCAAGTGAACAAAAAAAAAATAAAAAATAAAAAATAAAAAAATGATATGTCCAAATGTTTATGTATGGTTGATTTGCCATGAGTGAATTCTTTATTTGTTGAGCCTATCATGTACTTATGTGCTCTTTAATTATGTATGAACTAAGTGAGTTTTATAGTTAAAGTTGCAGATTCGAAATTTTAAAGGGCATGTTTAAAGTTTGGGCTATTTTGTATGTAATGTTTATATGCAAAATTTTTGTGCCTGTTTCTGAGCCTATAATACGAATTGTTGTTGATGCTATGCATGATTACATGTAATATTCGAATTGACTACATTCCTTAGATAATTATTTGTGAAATTATTGATATATAATTGCCATTTGGATATCAAAGTGATTGCCGTCACTTTGAAAAAAAATTGTCGAACTGAGGTTAATGTGGTATTTCCCGTAGAAGTGCGATGGATTATTGGACTTAGGAATGTCCTTGACACAATGGCTTTGACCTTGTGTCGTTTCGTTGTGTATATTGTAAGATATGAATTTTTAAAAAATTATGTTGCTGCCCGTTTTTGCTGAAATCACTATAATTCATGTATTACTTAAAAATTCTGATTTTCGGATATGTTGTAATATTGTTGTTATATTACTTGTAGTTAAAATTTGAGATTTTTATATAGCCTGTAGCCTCGTCAAAACTCATAAACTATTTCTAGGTTTTTTTTTTAATAAATTCATATAAAATCGAATTCTCGTCCAAAATGGCTAATTTTTGGATATGTTTCTATTCTTCATGATATCTTGCGTCTATAAAAATTTCAAAGTTAGATTCAAACTGTAGCTATTTTAAATGAATTAATTAGATTTCTGGTCAGATTTTACTTAAATTATTTAAAATGGTTAGAAACATGTTTAAGGGTTTTCCTTTGGTGAAAATGTGTGTTTTACAGTCTTTTATATGCTGTAAAAATTTGAATTGGTAAGTACAAGCCTAACTCCTTATGGCCTCATTCTTATAATCCTGAGTTAGTCCTTTTAACCCGTTTTTGGCACCGGTTGGCCTTGTTGGCAAATCCTTGACCCGTTGACCCATCTTTTGTGTCAAACCTTCATTGCCTGCTTTTATGTGATTTATTAATTGGTTTGG